AGTCTCTGGGACACGTTCAGGGGTGTGGACTTTACACCAAGAATGACAGGGGACAACATGATAATACCTGTGTTTTAAAAAGGCTGTTCTGGCTGCTGTATGCAGAATGGGTTTCAGGGAGGGCAAGAGCGGAAGCCCAGAGCTGGTTAGGAGGTCACTGCTGCTGTCCGGCTGAGATGGGGGTGGCTTGAACACGCGAGGAGGCAGGGGAGGAAATTGATCGATTTAGTCCATCCTCAGGAGATAGAATCAATGTGATTTAACAACTGATTTAAAAAATTAAGTGGGGGCCAGTGAGGATGCAGAAGAGTAAAGATGGGGTTTTGCCATGAGGGTGCACTGGGAGGGCAGGGGGGAATGGCCCTCCTTGGTAATGGTGAGAAGAGTGTAATCTGGCAGTAGAGGCTGATGGGGAAGGTTGAGGGTTCATGGGCAGGGGTGATCGGCAAACAGGGGCAGAGGAGGAGAGGTGTAAGCTTCAGCAAAGCCAGGGGATGGTGTGGGCAGAAGCAGGCACACAGCCCTTGGAGCTGCCCTGGCAAGGTGGGGGCGGGGCAGGAAGAGCTGCTTTCAGATCTGTCTCACTGTGTGGCCTCAGGCAGGGCCCTCTTGGGGCCTGAGATTTCCTTTGTATAGTGTTGGCTTCTCTGGCTCATAAGGGTGGTGAGCTGATTGGGGAAGATGCAACCCAGAACAAAAGGAACTCTAAGGCCTTGTAAGACAACAGGGCACACCAGGACAAAGCGGCCACCACCTGGCCACAGTTGGGAATGTGGAAGACCATCTCCTAATACCACGAGCCTCAAGGACACGAGCCTGAATGAGGAGCTAACACCAGGCACTTGAATCTGTGCTCAGAAACGGGTGTAGGTGGAGCTTGGGATTTTCAGCCTGTGAGGCACCACAGGGGCTGCTGGTCCCAGCTGGTCTTCTCATATGATCAAGTTACCATCCACTGGTAGACACATCTTTTAGATCCACCAGTAGCAGCAAATGACAGACTCCATCCAGGGCTGCTGACACCTGGGTTCTCAATCTAATAATTCATTTATCTATTTGATGATGGTGGTTTATTAAAAACAACAAAAAAGAAACATCTTCCCAGATCCCAGGCAAAGACCCCATCTCTTGCTTCCCCCTCCTGGATGGGTTAACGTTCCCCATGGGGAAAGCTGCTAGATGGGTATTTTCAAGATGTTCAAGCAGCCTTAGCCCTGAAGATGTTTCAAGGATCAAGTTCAAAAAAGCTTTTGAAAATTCTGTGGTAGCCCCCCACCCCAATTCACAAATGGCTTTAATATGCAAAAAGGTCTGAAAACTTTAGCAGGAGAAAACTTTTTGTGTCAATTTTTTAAACCACAGAACCCCCGCCCCAATATCCATACTCCCACCATTACCCAGAACTAATTCTGTGCATTTCACTCTGACATACACTAGTTATACAGACAAGCCACCTGCGGCAGGCAGACGACTACGATCACTATGGGCCCCGCACAGCCAGAGTGGTGGCTGGGAACATTACCAGGTTCACATATGCCCGTGGTTATCTACTCAGTATATCCAAAATTGGCATCATCTGAACAGCTCTCTCTTGGGGGAGACTATAAAGAGTGAAAATACTCCATGGCATGAGGAGAAGCATTTGAAATCTGTGAGGAAATCCAAGAGTCAAGTTAATTCACACCCACAGAGTGTACTGGACACGCTGCAGACAAGCATTCTTGGGGCCAAATGTGGCCTTATAAGGTGGCCTGACATTTTCTCATGGCCCAGGCCACCCTCCAAAAATATCCAGAGACAGAGAAGAGTGGGAACTGACCTCCTTGAACGTTTCAAAGATTAACAAGCAGGCTCTCCGTCAAAGAAGAGCGCTAGCACCTGCCTCCTGACCAGCTCCTAAAGCCTTGGCATTTCAAGACCAAGCAGCCCGCAGGGTCCATGCTGGGGAGGGCGCCACAGTCTGTAGGGCGCAGTGAATAGATAGAGTCTCCAGCACACACCCAAGCTGGTTTCTTTGCTCTGAAAAAAATGTTATTTCCTGTACCCGTCTGGAATATGCTGAGATCCGACTGCCTTTACTTTATATGGACAAGAAAGACCCATAACTAATTTCATTAGTGTGTCTTTCTATCCCTTCCATGTCCTTGGGTGAAGCTGTTTCCCAAACGCCTTTTACTTCCAAGGCCCCGGATCACTGGTGAGGTGCTGCCCCCCAGCGGGCCAGCCTGGCTACAATATGGGAGGCAAAAATGATGTTTGGGCTTTAACCAAGGGCAGCATCTGGAAAGGTGTCTGGATTGCACCCAAGGTCAAAGACAGATGCAAAAAGAGCTGCCATGGTAATAAGTCTAGGTTCTTGAATTAGTAGGAACACAATTTCCAAATGTTAAAAAGATTTATGAAGTGGGCACTAGGTGCTTATGTATACAGCCTCTTACACATTTTATTTTTGCTCATCAAATGAGACTTGTAGGGTGAACTGCCTTTTGTGGGAAAAAAGAATATTTTTGGTAATAGACCTACCCCTAAGGGGTATCTCTCTAAATTTGGGGGAAAAGATTAAATAGTCCCTCAGATGTCTGAAAGAAAGTGGTCAAGAAACCCACAGAGCTCTCTCCTAACTCTGGTTCTCAGCTGCACACAGTGGAATGTTAATAGGTATGGCTATTTTTGGTAATAGTTGCTTAGAACAGTTTCTTCACCACTAAACTATATGACAATGAGCCAGTCTATTTGTAAGGCTGGAATTAAAAAAAATGATATGAGAAATTGCAAAGCTAATCTTCATGCTTGTTAAAGGGAACAGAACACCACCACAGCATTTTTGGAACGCTGTGTGAATAGCAAGTCTCTTAATTACACCAACGGTAATTCCTCAGGCTGGGCTTATGTTAACAGCACACATAATTGCCACAAAATATGACAATGACAAATTAGAAAGCCCTGGTTTCCATTACTACCCTAAGGTTGTAAAAGTGGCATTTTCTGGGTTGCCTCTACTATTAACTTTACCATCTGGTCCTGTTTCAGTTGCAATAATTTTATTTCTCATTTCATAAATAAAAGCCTATTGAAACGGATTCGACTCTGTATGAGGAGTGAGGTCGTTCCAACTCTCACCACTGTGCTGGTAACATCTAAGCCGTGATCAAACCGCATTTAGAAAGGAAATGTTCCCTTTGGAATAAGACCATGCTCTTGGACATGGTGACAGTGAATTCCCAGGAAGACCTGGTAGACTAGGTGGGGGCATGTGACTGCTGGAGGCAAATAACAGAAATCACCCAAAGAAACGACCAGAAAGTGCCCAGCACAGGGAGACATCAGAGCTTTCATTTTGAGGTGAAGGAATTTGGGGGCCTAGAACTAGCAGGTCTGAAGCATCTGGACTTAGTATCCTGTGGGTGTCCTTTCCACAATTACAGGGTGCTTGAAGCAGCCCCTAGAACTGTACTGTCTGTGGAGGCATCTTCAGGACAAGGTACCTGACCCCTTGACCAGGCATTTGTCTGAATATACGATGAACATTGCTGGGCCACAGTATTTCCCTTCAACTTATATTCGAAGATTTAGAGTGGGGGGAGAAAGCCCGAAACCAACGAAACAAAGGACAAAGGTCCTCAAATTTCCACTGAGTTTCTTAGATGCCTGGTCACCTACGTGAGGACTCCCTCCTGTCCCTCTGCAGCTGAATTGGAGACGGGCGTGTAAGCTTGAAGACTGGCAGGAAGAATGACTTTTTGGAAACCTCTTAATATAATCTATTTTTTCCTGTAGGTGCAGAACCATCATGATGAGCAGAAATACATTTTAAATCTGTCAGAGAAAGAGCGGGAATCTGTGACAGAACCAAAACTCATTCACATTTCTATACCACCACTCTCAGGCCCATTTAATGTGGAACATCATCAGACTCAGTGTTTCAGATCCAGGCAGAGCACACACCAGTTTATTCTGAATGCAACACAGATCAATATTTTATGAATACAACTTATTACTACATTGGCATTATCAGGTAAAAACAGCTTCCAAACGCATGCGTAGAAAGTTAAGCGTAGTTTTTGAATGCCTTATTTCTAAATATACAAAAAATACATTTAAATTATAGAATTTTAGTGAGTCAAAGACTTATAAAATTACAATTTTGGTTTTCACAACATAGAAAAAATACAAAAATGACTATATATGGTCATATAAATTTTTACCCAAATTTCAAAGGAGCAGTATGTACTGATTTTGATGTTTTATGTTTTATCTGAAACTCGGAATTGAAAATAACTCATAGGTTGCACCACATTAATGCCAACCTTTTATTACACACAAATAACCAAAAGCGCAAGTGGAAGCGAGGGCATAGTCTCTTCACAGGCCTCTGTAGCGCGGTGTCTTCCGCAGGAAGCTGGCGCCAGGGGAATTTTCCCATCTGGGAGGATGGTGCTGTATTCCATGGCTAGCTCTCACGGCGCCTCTCATCACGGGCAGTGCATGTTAAATGAACAATCCCAATCTTAGCCAACAGCACACAGCAAGATGCAAATCGGCAGCTCGTGCCTACAAAGAAATACTTGCGTACCTCACAGAATCTCTGCCAGGAGGTGGTCCCGAAACATCCCATTGGGGGCAGCTGGGCAGACAATGCCTTTGACTGGGCCCTGAAATGAACACTGTACATCTGAAAAAACACCTACTGAACACCACCTTCCTCACTTGCACTTTATATGAAGATGGGATGTTCGGTGGAGTTAGATGGTCTTGATTCATAAAAGAATGCCACCACTTAGAAGGAAAAATTAATTTATGTTGTAGCTAAAGAAACCAGTTACTGAGAGAGGTGACTGAAGGACACACAGCATGTCTTACTTATCTGTCTGAGCATTTTAAATGTCTGATGTACAAAACTAAACACTGGGGTTGAGACCCTTTTTGAGAAGAGAGTTGTGTGCTGTGTTCTTGTTGCAATTTGATGCAATACCACTGTCTGCAACACGCTGCTTTCATAAATTGTGACAAATTATAATAGAGGCCTGAATAATTATATTCAACCCTGAAAAACCTGCATTTTCCATCCCATCATCTAACCATCCCCACAACTGAAAAAATCCTACCCAAATGAAGTAATAAGGCTAATATAACCCAAATTGAAATACATTTCAGAAAAATGAAGAGAAAAAGCATGAAATATAATCTTTCCCACATATTTTGTTCATCAAGTACAAGAATAGATTCTAATCTCAACATGCCCAAGTTAAGAGCGCTGACTTTAAGAAGCAGAATTTTAATGTTCAATTCAAAAATAACTTACACTTCTGACTGCATTACATTTTAAGCTCTATATTTTCTTCTCTTTCTTATATTAACTTTCAAGCCTCTATGAAAATAAGCATTTAAAAAATTAGTTTTCCATTATGACACTCTTCTGACATTAGCAATTATATTTTAAATGATAATGACTCTGTAAACTAGACTTTTAAAGTTTTAAAGATCAACCAATTTTTAAAAAAAGGGAAAAACGGCTCCACACAAAGAACATCTCATGTTTAAAATCTAATTCACGCCTGAACTTGGGCTTTACATTTCCCTCCAGCCCTTTCTTGAGAAGTCTTAAATGCGCAGTTGAGCAATTAAACAGTACAAAGACATGACATTAATCAGACAATGTCCATATGACCAAAGGATTTCTTGGCTGCTCCAGCATGTGGGACAGCACTGCTGTCATCAGCTCCTGACTGCCCAATGAACATTCCACTGCCTCTGGACATTCAACTTGGTGGGAATTACAGAGGGCCACAATTAGGAGAAGTATCCAAACAGAAACGTTTCATGAAAATTAAAAATAAATTAACAAGAGTATAGGAACCTCTTCCTGAATGTTCTTCCGGACTACATTTCTAGAGTAACACCTTCCAGGTGTTTCATGAACAGATCCTCCACTCCTGTGACTAGACTGGTTTCAGGTCCAGAAATGAGAACGGCTATTTGAAATGTATTACTCAGGGGGGTTCTGAGAATGGTACTGGGAAGGTACTTGTCATTTACTAGCAATGAAACGTTTCCTTTCTGGGAACTGTAGTTTTGTTAAAATATGAGTGAGGCTGGGCCCCAAGTAAAGTAGATTCTCTACAAGGTACACATACTTATTAAATTCAAGCACATTTCTTAGTGGCAGGCAGTAATGACTCAATTGAAAACAAACAAAAGGGTTCTAGCTGTTTTCTGATTACAGGTACTACCCCAAAGCTTCAGACATACAAACTGTATACTTCATTCACTAGACACGAGGGGAGAGGTCCTAGCCATAACTTCAGAGCATTCAGAAAACAAAGTTTGCCGCTGCAAAAACACAAACAGCTTCCAGCATGCAGTGGAGCACTTTGAAAAGGGGATGCTGACCACGCTGCAGACGAACAGAGCTCTACCGCAAGCCGGGCATTCGGCTGGTGCCACCTCACTACTCACTGCAACTCTCAGGCATCCAGTGTTACAGACCTTTGTCTATCAGATAGGTGAAGGAAACAGGAGGGTAGAAAATGCCAAATCCCTGTCTAGCGCCACCTTAAATATTGGGAACTTCTGGTTGAAAAAGCATGCTGAATGGACTGGCCAGGACGTTTTATGTAACAGCTTTTTTGTGTTTTATTTTATAAAATCCCAGGCCTATGTGACACTGGATTTTGGATTTTGTTTTGTTTAGTATTTTAAAAATAGTTCTTACTTATTTTCTATGAAACGTATTGGGAACTCAAAAAGTCTGCAGCATTTTCTGTCGTTGAAAAGTTTGTGTTTTGGAGGGTACAGGAAACAGGAACTATTCAGATTTCTTGTGCTCTTCAGTATGAGAAAGGACCTTTCTTCTCTGGTGTATCATGTGGAAGTATAACTGGGGGAAAACTGGAAAGAAAAGAAACAACTGGTTAAGGAGACCATTTAAAATGGCATGTTCTATTTAAAACACATGGTCTTAAGGTCCTCCATGACTTCTGACTACTTTATCATCCAGCGGCCAAGGAAGGTGACAAGTGGGCTGGGGAAGGGGAAGAAAAACACAGAGACCTACCTTTTCCTGCGTTAGCCAAGGAGGAAAGCTGGTGTGGACTTACAGGCACTACTGTCACCACCATTACCAGTCAGGACAGAACAGAGCTGCCAAATACTATTCTTTATACTCTTCACACTCATTCTCTGATTTCACAACAGCCAGGTGAAATATTCCAGTGATGGAGCTATTACCCGTGCTTCAGAGGTGGAATTCAAGCCCAGAGAGGGCACGCAACCAATCTGGGTCTCACTGCAAATGCCTGACAGCCAGGACCAGGCTCTAGGCTCCTGAGGAAGGTTGTTCTGTGAATGGGAAGATTGAGGAAGGGGAGGAGGGCTACATTTGATCTGAACACAACTGAGCCAGGTTTGAATGTAGAAAAACTCTCTATGAAAAGATAGCCAGTATCTTAGGCACTGGAGATTCTGTTTTTCGTAATTTGTAGATTACTTTTAAAAGTAATGATTCTCAAATAAACTGGATGGTACTGCCTCCCTAGGGAATATTTGGAAGTGGGGGAGGAGCATGTGGGGCACAGGTTACTGGCATTTAGCACATGGGGGTAGGAATGCTAGAACCTGCAGCATGTGATGGTCCTCCATAGCTAAGGATCATTCCAGCCCAGATGCCTAGAGTGTCCTTGCTGGGCTGGGTTGGCCTTCACAAGGTTACTGTAAACTGTGGGATTCTATAACCATGTAAGAAACTCCAGTGGGATGGCCCTGGGTGTACAGTATCCTTCCTTTCCTCCCCTTCTCAACAGCTCCAATCTTTTTTTTTAGACAGTAACCTGTATTTTGGGGGAGGTAATTTCTAGTACTCCCAGCTCTCTCTGACAGTTCCTTCCTTTTTAAATGAAATGGGTTCCAAGTTGGACAAATTTCAAATGGTCCTCCCGCAGTACTCCAAGACATCAGTGGGTATGTGCACACAGATCCGATGAACTGTAGAGGAGGCTGATGCTGAAGAGGGCTGCCAGCCACTCCACTCACTATTTGCAGGCAGAAGTTATTCACAGAAAAGACCCAGCTTGTACATATAATTCAACAGTGAGAGAACTATTTTGGTACGAGAGCCAGAAAATTTGACAGGCTCTATAATCTAAAAACTGGAAGTAAAGATATAATTAAACCGTAAGGAATGCTAATTGTAATCATTTAAAAATGCAGGGACAGTCACATTTCTATAGACATGCTTTAGTATATGGAAATGTCATGACAAAGTACTTTTCCTCTGGTTGCATTTGATTATAATACCCCGTACAGGGCGGTGGCCGCTCACAGCTAGTTCAGAGGGTGGGAGGGAGGACAGTGACCTAGAAGCCATCAGGAGGCACTCAGTGGCAGTCAGAGCAAGATTCCTAGAGTGCCTTCATCCCTGTAGGCAAGGGCCTGCTGGCTGCCAGAGTCAGATGTCAGAAACAGAGGCAGATATGGCCCTTCCATTCTTTAACATCTTCCAGAGGTTTCTTAGCGCCTAAGAAAAAGGAGCGTGTGTGTGTCTGTGTGTGTGTGTGTGTGTGTGTGTGTGTGTGTGTGTGTGGTGGGGAAGGGAATGGTGATACTTGGGCTGAAGGTTCTTTATAGCTCTAGCAGTGACTTCTTGGTGACCAGAACATGGATGACACTGTCTCCATCTGAATTATCACATGTTCAAGCTGAACCCAAATATAATGGCTGAAACAAATCCAGATGCATGGCTACTATTTTTAACAACATTGGGCTATAATGAAGATTAACCCTAGGAAAATCTCCACCTGACAACAGGCTATTTAGAATTCTACCTTCTGCTCTCTCAGTTCAGGGCATAGAATGGAGATGGCTGCTTTGCGTGTGTGTGTGTGTCTTGGTGTACTGGGGTGGGGGCCTGTGGGTGCTACTGTGCCCACCTTCCTGTACGAAGATGGTCTCTCTCTCTCTCGGGAGAAGACGACTTGGAAGGTGAGAGCAACTGGAAATGCTCTGCCTGAGGCAAGTTTTGTTCTCGGTTTCTCTAACTATCAGAGGTATGGTTGATTCCTGAAACCTGAAGTGCCAGAGTCTTGGTGTCCTCACCCTATAGCACTGTTTTCAGCCTTTTTATACCACACTCTACAACCAGTTTTCACCAATATGGGGAGGGGAAAATGTAAACAGGACCTACACATCTACTGAGTCCTGCAGACACTGCACACACTGCCACTGCAGCACAGCAGAGAGGAGCACCCTGTACAGGGCTCCAAGCATCCCAACCCAAGGGCACTCTAGGGGCCAGGGCGCATGGGCCATAATCTGGGCTACATGGGCATCAATGCAATAATAGGCCAGGACCATAAAAAACAGGTGCTGCTTTATATATCCATCCATCCATCCATCCATCCATCCATCCATCCATCCATCCATCCATCATCTCTCAATCTATCATCTATCTATCTATCTATCTATCTATCTATCTATCTATCTATCTATCATCTATCATCTATCTATCATCTATCTATCATCATCATCATCTATCAATCAAACTTCCCATTAAAGAAGATTAAAAGAAACTGAAGTTGTAGACAAAACCAAATTTGGTAAAGAAGACTACTACATGTCAATAGCAGCCTCTCCTAATTCTGCATTTCTGCTAATAAATACAAAGCTGAAAGATGAAATGCGCAGCTGGCTGGGAAAGAACTGTACAAACTGGTCTCGATACTGCCACCTAAAGTACTGAGAACATCCAGGGCAGCCTGCCCGGCCAGAGGCACAGAGGGTGCCGGCAGACATGTGGTTTATAGCCGGGGATATGGTCTGGGCTGCCATCTTTCCTCAAGGATTTGGAGGAAATCTTTTAATCTTTATTTGAAATCAACCCCTACTGTTTGTCTACAAGAGTTAAGCTGCCTTAAAAAAGACTATAGACTCTAACCAAGCCAAGTCCTCTTACCAAAAGGAGGGTAAACATGGAAGGGGAAGGAACCGAGGCAAAGCAAACAAGACTTGTTGAGAAGCCTGCCCAACTGTCTAACCGACAGCTGCCAAGGTCTGTTTCCTCTCTTCTGAAGCCAAGAAGGAAACCCCACAGGACGGGGATTGTTTTCCTGGAGGAAGGCTATCACTGGGGAGGCTGCCTGTGGGTGACCAGGGCCCTCTGCTTCTTCATGAAGTCAGGAGGAAGAAGCAAAGGCTGGGCATTGGTTGGCCACCAGAACACACAAAATTCTAGCGGTACACAGACTCAGGCTGCCCAGGAGAGCTGTTCTAGGGATGAAGCCCTCCTTCCCCGACAGACAAGAAACCCTGCAGTGACCCTGATTTCTGTCAATGTGGCAGCATCTTGTTACTGGTTTGATTTCATGAGACCCTCCTTGACCCTTTCCCATCCATCTTCTATTTATTCAAAAACTTATGTTGAATTTAAAAAAATCTGTGGTGCTGCTGACTGGGATAATATACTATTCTAGTGCGGTAAAACTGCAACTGAGAATTGTTGCTCTGGAGGCTGGAAGATGAAACTCATAGAGGGCAATATTAGAAGGGTAAAAAATTAAGTTAATTTTTATTACTTACATTTTTAGACTCTTCCATACTTATCTTTTGTTTGATAATCAACTACCTTTTACATTTGAGAGATGCTTTTAGCCACCACAGTTTCAGCATCAAAGAGGAGGACCTGATACTTAATAGAGTGGGAAATGAATCACGAAGCAGAATTGTGTCCAGATAAACGCTCACATGAAATCTGGATGCGGTTTTTTCCACAATGCATGAAGTGCAGGTTTCCACAGAGGGACATTAACATGTTCTTATGACTGTTAGAGTGATTCACACAGTTAATGCTGTAGGCTGAAGAAAAGCCCAACCCTCCCTCTGAATTTAACCCGAGGTTTAGGGGAGAAGATAGCACCTTATAGACTAAAATAAGACTGAGAGTCACAATGGCTACAGGAATAGCTGAAGGAGAAGAAACACATGTCCTTGAGTAGAACAAGGTCCTTTTGGATATGTGGAAATCAACGAACATCAGAATTCAAGAAAAGGACCAAAGAACTCCTCTCCAGCCAACAGGACTCACTTCACAGAGGCTGCAAACATGGCATTTTCTGTCTGCTACCAAGTACACTGACGGGCACATTTGATGACCCAGTACAGGCTTTTAGCAGCACCATTAAATACTACTGGAAGCCACCCTGAAGAGAACACTATGTTCTGTTCAGATGGTTTTAGTGCTTGTTTCTAAACAAGAAAATAAGAAATATAGAAAGAAAGAAATAATCTGTTTTTATTTTGCTATTTGTTTCCAGTTAACTACCGATTCCTCAAAAATGAAGTAACTGTCTATTCTGATATAGTAAAAATGCAAAAAAAATCGCTTTACAATGTTTTCCCGATACCATAGTAAGATCCTGAGAAACAGAAAAAGTCAAGGTAAGGCTTTAATGGCTTTGTTTTCCACTCAGCACTTTTCCCCAATAGAGTTACTTATCCTGGTAGTCACCATTTCAAACCCACACACAGAAGGGCCGCATTTTGGCAGCTGTGTTGAGAAGGAGTCATCTTTCTACTACTACCAGAGAAAATTCACAATAAATCAGATTTACATTTACCTATATACAGTATAAAAACAACTAAAGGCATTTAACTCCAGCTATTGTAGAGCCAATTTTTAAAACATAAATAAATATATACATAACTGTTTACTTACTTGGAATGTAGGAGATCATTATCAGAATTAGGAACGCGTAATAGTCAAAGGAGAAATTGTATTTGTTAGGTAAACTGATGGAGTACAGGCCAGCCTGTCTGACAAAAGGCAAGGCAGCATATATTGTGAGCAGTTCTCCTGAAATTCCCATTGGGTATAGCACAATGAAAAGTGTGTACCTAAAACAAAACAAAATGCCCATTACTGAGGCTAGAAGCCAGTGTTAGTAGAAAGACATACTCCCACCCTTCTTTCTAATCAGTCCTCGTCTTTCAGAAAGCTGTTGCTTATACATTTTCCTGCTTACCCACTGTTGAAGTTCAGGTTTACAAACCAGTTTTTGGAAAGGGCCTATAGCAGGTATGTTTCTGAATGTTCTAAAATAAAATAAGTGTGTTCGGTCAGCTTCAAACAACTCTTTAAAACAACTCCCTAAATGAACTGAGGAGATGCCAAAAACTGGTCAAGCAGGGGCACTGAGTCACGGTTTATCCTGAACCTACCCTGTGAGGCGGAAGCGGAGATGGGCATGCGCAGGGAGTTGGGGCAATGTGCTGGAGCACATGCTGAGGAATCCCTAACAACGTACACCAAGTCTGGGCTGTAGATAGGAAAAAGCAGTGCATTCAATGTGTGGACACTGCTACAATTGTTCAGATGTGTGTATGTCCTATTGTGAAAACGGAAATATATGCTAATTTTAAAAATATTAAAAATTCATAATAGCTTTTGGTCATTATGTAATTTTTCAGTGAAAAAACTATAATTACTATCACATGGGAGAATCTACACAATGTCTTTCACTTTAAAAAGAAGTTCTCTATGTTTCAAAAAGAATTCAGAGAGAAGTTCATCCTACGGAATGAATGGAAGTCATTTCACCGTGTAAGTGTTGCTAAAGAAATCATCAGCTCCGATTTTAAAAAGCCTTTGACCGCAGCATTATTCCCAGTAGCCAAGATATGGAAGCAACCTAAGTGTCCATCGATAGATAAAGAGTCTATCTAATGAAATATTACTCAGCCATAAAAAATAATAAAATCTTGCCATTTGTGACAGATGGCCCGAGAGGGTATTATGCTAAGAGGTGTGTCAGGGAGAGAAGGACAAATATCACATGATTTCACTTACATGTGGACTCTAAAAAACAGAACGAATGAATAAACAAAACAAAACAGAAACAGACTCGGAGGCACAGAGAACAGACTGCGGCTCCCGGA